AGTTTGCCAGTGAAGTCAAAGTTATTAAACAAGTGCTTTTCTCTTTTTTCTTTTTTCTTTTTTTCTTTTGTTTTTTTTTTTGTTAATTTTAAGGTACATCTAAAAGATTCGGAGGTTCTCTTCAAATTCCTTTCAATTTTATGGACTTACAGTTACAACCTTTCAAATCATCTGAACTATGAAGTCAGTGCAATGCTACAGACTCAAGCTTTATACATTGGCTATGCACTGCTGGAATCACAGACATACCAAAAAAAGAAACAGCTGGTATCGCCATCATCTCCAGGTAAAGTAAAACAGTATCTAACTCTCATCTTAAGACTTAATCACAATATTTTTTAATTTTGTGCAATTTTACTATGTTTTATACCATGAAGGATATCTATAGTCATTTATGTTCAGTTGCACTAGGCTGAAACAGCTCTGTTTCTTGCTGATTCACTGCTGCAGTTACTAGCCCAAGTTTGGAAGTAGGTGAAACCACTTTTTAATCTTAAAAGCGTTAAAGAAACGTGCTCCTATGCTGAAGAAGTCATAGAATCATAGAATGGTTAGGGTCGGAAGGATCCTCAAAGATCATCTAGTTCCAACTCCTCTGCTATGGGCAGGGACACCCTCCACTACACCAGGTTGCTCAAAGCCTCATCCAACCTGGCCTTGAACACTGCCAGGGATGGGGCATTCACAAACTCTCTGGGAAACCTGTTCCAGTGCCTCAACAGCCTCAGAGTGAAGAATTTCTTCCTTAGATGTAATCTAAATCTACCCTCTTTCAAGTCATTACCCCTTAGACCCCTTAGTCTTACCACTACATGTCCTTGTAAAAAGTCCCTCTCCAGCATTCTTGGACGCCTCCTTTAGGTACTGGAAGGCTGCTGTACAGTCTCCCTGGAGCCTTTAAGGAAGTGGAGGAAGCGCTTGCATATCTTCCAGGTGTTAAGGGCAAAAATAAAAATTTTACTCTGGTTTTACTGCTCTATCAGAAAAGTCTAAGTCAGATGTTTCAACATTTGAATGTTCTCTTCAGGGTTTCTCTAGGCAACCTGTTCCAGTGCCTCACCACCCTCAGAGTGAGGAATTTCTTCCTTATATCTAATCTAAATCTCCCCTCTTTCAGTTTAAATCCATTGCCCCTTGTCGTATCACTACACACCCTTGTAAAAAGTCCCTCTTCAGCTTTCCTGTAGGCCCCCTTTAGGTACTGGAAGGCTGCAATAAGATCACCCCAGAGCCTTCTCTTCTCCAGGCTGAACAGCCCTAACTCTCTCAGCCTGTCTTCATAGCAGAGGTGCTCCAGCCCTCTGATCATCTTCACGACCCTCCTCTGGACCCACTCCAACAGCGCCATGTCCTTCTCGTGTTGGGGACTCCAGAGCTGAAGGCAGTATTCCAGGTGGGGTCTCACGAGAGCAGAGTAGAGAGGCAGAATCACCTCCCTTGACCTGCTGGCCACACTTCTGTGGATGCAACCCAAGATACAGTTGGCTTTCTGGGCTGCCAGCGCACATTGCCGGCTCATGTTGAGCTTCTCATCCACCAGCGCTCCTAAGTCCTTTTTCTCCATGCTGCTCTCAATCCATTCTCTGCCCAGCCTGTACTTGTGCTTGGGATTGCCCCGACCCATGTGCAGGACCTTAATTTCTGTGCAGTATAAGGATGTGGGAGTCAGTAGCCATATGTGAACTCTCTGAGCTTAAATACAAATATAAGGACTGTGATGAAGAAATTCAGAGCCATGGATCTGTGAGATTCACATTGGTTTTATGTAGTCTAGAGATTTTTAGTGAAAAGAGATTACTTTTTAATTCCAAAGTAATGTTGCTGCCTCTTCAGACATACGGTAAAATTATGACCGCTCACTGTATTCTGTTGTCTTTCCTCCTTCCTTCCCTCACTGTTTTTGCAGTGCTGATATCTTTGCTAATTAACTTGGGTAGTCCTGTGAGTGAAGTTCGAAGGGCTGCTCTCAACTGCCTCCATTCCTTGAGAGGGATAAAGGAGTCTCTATTTCATCCTATTCTTCAGCATTTGGAGCAAAAGACAGAAGAGATCATATCTGACCCTACATACATAACACAGGTATTTTTGTTAAGGTGTACATTAATCCAAGGTTTTTTTGCTGCTGTGAGCTCTCATCTTTTCCAGAAGAAATCAAGTTAACTGGGAAAGTTCATTGTCTTTGTATGCTATAGTAGACTGATTTATTTTTTTTAAAGGACTTTAAAAACATTCAAGTGATTTATTACATGCAGAGAATTGAGAGTATCAGTCAATTAAGAAGTATTTACTGGTGGTTTATTTACAGATGAGGAATTCTGTTTGTATCTAGATTGCATTATTATGAAAACATTGAATAAATGTTGTTTCAAGGCATTTTTATTGCAGGGAAAGAACTTAAATTTTCACTTTGTTAATGAACTAGATTATGGAAACTCTATTTGAGGAGCTTGAGACACAACCAAAACAGAAATCCCAGAAGAAAAAATTGTCGGAAGCTTTGGAAAGCATACTCGATTGTGTACAGAACCCTATTTTCCCATCATATATTGCAAGAAACTTAATGAAAATTCTTCATGGACTTCATGGTGAGGTAAGTGCAGCCTTTCTAGCTGTTTTATGTGTTCTGCACTTGATTGAAATGCTGAAATCAAATTGCATTTAGTAATACTGCTGTTAAATAATTTCATAATGTATTATATTAGGCATTAAGTTGACACCTCTAATAATATGCAGTAGTGCTGCAAAATACGATTTCGTGAAACATAGAATATTTGTGTGCTCCATCCAGACATGTAAGGGCTGCAGAATTTTGTGCTTGAGCTGTTGAGGAAACTCCCTTGATGTTACTGAAAAAGACTGTTTCACAAGAAGATTCTTCCAGAAGAAATTTATTACCTTGGTTAGATATCAGGGAATACAGAGTTTTCTGTACAGAATTGTAACACAGTAGGTAGTACTATCAATTTTATTTGACTATAACCTCGTTTTATCTAGTATATTCAGATTTATCTTCTCTAAATGCTGGAAAATATGTGAGTTCAGTGTACAAAAAATGAGTGAAATTATGAATTTTACACTCTGTTCAGTTGTATTTGTCTTGAAGGGATTGTAAACTGCATAGAGGATGAGTGTTCTTACCTCACATTTGGCTTTTGTAGGAGACAACAGTCATAAATCAGTGAAAAAAATTGCTTTCTGTACTCTAAAAATAGGGAATACTATTCTGCAAAGGAAAATAGCGAAGTAGCAGATGAGCATGTACTTGTGGTAATCTCACAATAAGTCTTGTATTTTTCCTCTTGAATAGCTGTTGCATAAAATACTGTATACAGTGTGTTATCAGAGAGCGGATGTTGTAGTAAAATGAAGCTGTGCTATTGGAAGTTTGTTAAAATGAGAATGGATAGAAACTTACCTTACTAATTTCCTCTGTTTGCAGATGATTCTTTCTCACCTCTTGCCTGCACTAGACCGGTTGCTAGAGAAGGTCTTTAAGAAACCTGAGGCAATGTTGAAAGATGAAGTTGTTCTCCTGCATCTCATCCTTGGAAAGTTTAATGAATATTCAGCACCCCTCTTGTGCAAGAATCAGCAGAGTCTGGATTTATTTATCAAAAGTCTGCATGCTGCCAAGAAAATCTATGAGGAAGTGCCACCTTTTCAGATCACAGCGCTTGGACAGGTATGGCTTTCTGAAAAATAATTAATTTTTATGCTTAAAGCAAATAGCAGTGGTTAGGATTGGATTTACAAGGACTGTTTCTGTATTAAGGAGTCCAAAGCTTTTGACATCTCTTCCTTTTAATACAAGTTTTCAGTCTCCATAGTGTCTTTGAAACATCTAAACAGGCTGCAAAACTTTCTCTTTTAAACTTACCAGAAGGAGAAATTGCTGCTTGTTTTATTTTTGCATTTTGACAAGTACAAAATGGAAATATCACTGTATTTGCATAGAGATGAATACCTGTATCATTGCCTGCAGACACTAATGTTTTACTTGTCCTTAGGTTTTTTTTGTCAGTCAGGCAGGAGCTTTACTTTATGTTTTTCTTCTGAGGGAAGATTGTCAAGAAAATACTGTAGGTGAGAAATAGTCTCATTTGAAGGAGGCTACAAATTCAGGCCTTCTGTTAGCCCGGTATTAGTGTATACTTACGGAAGGCTGGCAACAGCAGGATTGTTCCCCCCACCAGGCAAGGTGTGTGAAGAATTTCAGAAACCACTGTATCTGATGGATATTTCAGAAGTATGTGCTTTGCATCTAAGGATTCTTGGATATATAGAAATACATAGTTGATATGCAAATTTTTACGATATATGTTCGTACTAACCTGTGTGTGATTGGGTGTGTCATACTTCATCTAATATACCTAAGTTCTGTAGCCTGTGATTTTGTTACCTGCTTACAGTAAACCTCTCTACGTCCTTTCTCTTTTCCCTTTTGTAGATTACTAAACCATTCTTTGCAGCTGTGTCAGATGGGATGGTGCAAGAGAAGCTGTTAAAAGTATTGTTTGACTTACTGTTAAACTGTAAGAACCCTCTTTGTGCCCAGACCATTAGCAGTGTGTTTAAAGGGGTAAGTAACACACTCCAGAACACAGAAATATGTTCTAACCTCTTGCAGTGGTTCTGTGTCACTACATTCAGTAACACTCGATGTTCATATCATTCATAGCATGAAAGGAATTGGAAACTATCTGTCACATAATACAGTTGTCTTAATGACATGAAAAGTTTGTTAAATGACTGCTTTTAGAAGGTATTTCTTTAAAAGCCGTGTATCAGTCACTTACTATACTACGTTAATGAATTCAGCAGAAGTCACTTCTTTCTGCTGCACTGATTTTCATCTTTTGGGTAAAAACTGTTTTTCTCTTTTTGTATAGTGACTGGGAGACTTCTCTCACAATAGCTTAATTGTAGCTTTCATGTAGCAATTTATTATATTACATGGATTTGAAATCACTTCCTCATTTTATTTGCTATAAGAACTACAAGTAGGGCAGGCATTCAGAGACTGGTGATATGACCTGAATATGTGGATTACATACCCGTATGTGCATGAAGGGAACATGTGTTTAAAAAAAAGGAGGGGGCATAGGTGTGTGATACGACACGTTGTTCATTGCTACTTGCATTATTATTCCCTGTTTTAGATTTCAGTGTGTGCTGAGCAGATTGTCAGAGAACTGGAGCCTCCTGAGAAAACCAAAAGTCTGGCCACTGTTCAGCAAACTAGAAGGCAGAAAATGCAGCAACAGAGGTAAAATAACTAGAAACCCAAAAATATTATCTGTACAGTTTGAAAAGGCCAGTTGTTTTACTACATTTCATAGTTTGTATTAAAAGCATATAAGCATTTATTTCTTCTTTTACCCTGCACAGTAATGAGCTACTTTCGTCAGGAGGAAACCGATTCATGTTGCTGTTTGAGAACTGATGAAACTAAAGTCAAAATTTAGAATTAAAAAAAAAAAATCATCCAGTAGTTCTAAAGTTGGCATTTGCTCTTGTGTAATCTAGCTTGACACAGTTGAACAACGTTAATTTTCTAGGTACTAAATTTGGTTAGTAATAAAAATGTGTGGATGAATTATGTATACATGGCTGAAGCCTAAAGGTGCTCATCAAAATGTTCCTGTTAGTTGACTGAAAAACAGTATTTTCTTTCAGTTAAAATACTAATGTTTAGATTTCTTCATCTTGTTTCTTCTCCTTTCTCATCAGGAAGGAGCTGTTTTGTCCACTCTACTTATTCTCTTCTTTAAGCATCGGCTGTCAGCTGTTGTTGAAACAGGATATTGAGTTGATTTTCTTGGTTTGACCTAGAATAGCTGTTCTTACTTTCCTTCACTTGACCTTTTTTAACAATCAGCAACTATTATTAGATTGATCCATCTGTAAACTGTGTCTGTCAGAGTTTACAAATGCACACACTTGCACACACACCCATTGCCTGCATAGTCAGTGGTTTAGACGACTAGTAGTTCCAAAGATGCGAATTTCCTGGATGGCAAGCACATCAGCATTTGGACAGTTATTTCGTAATAGATTTTATGTTTTTTTCAGCAGAAGTCTGCTTCATTGTATAGAATTTTTGTATACATGGAAGGCATGCTATACTTATTTGTTTTTCATGTTTGGTCTGGATTTTCTGTTGATTGTTTAAAATGCGTTGCTGCGTTAATCAAAAGCCCACACATTGCTACCTCTCCCAGGAGAAGCAGTAAAGGATATTACTATGTGAAAGAAAAATTGTCTTTTTTTACTTATGTGTGTGTGTGTTCCCCAAAACACTGTACTATTTTCTTTGTAGCTGTATATCCTGATTGTTTGTCTTACCTTTTTAGAAAGCCTCAAGATGCAGAATCGGCGCCAGAAACAAGCCACTTCAGCTGGCAGAGGGTCATGCTTATTCTGGAATTACTGCAGCATAAGAAGAAACTTAGACGTCCGCAGGCATTGGTACCTGCGCTTTTTAACCTGCTGAGCCGGTAATCGTGCCTCCATGACACAGGAGTCCTTGAGCATTCTCTTCTGCAGCAGATGCTGTAAAGTGTTAAGATATGGGCTACTTTCGTCTGCTTTCTTGCCATGTTTTGTGGCTTGCCTTGCCTCTTTTACTTGAACTTCTTTTGGGTAAATCAGATGAAGGGAATGGGAAGTTGTTACGACTTTTTTTGTCCTTTAAACAATGTGATGGGCTTTTTAATATATATATATATATTTTTTTTACCTGATGCATAGCTTCTTATGTGAAGACTTTGTTTCTCAGGTAGAGGGCTTGGGATTGCTAAGAAGGATGACACCTGTGCAGATGAGAACTGGCATAATTGACAGGACTTGTGTCTTTTGCAGAGCTATTATAATAATACTTCAAGCTTTAAAATTCCTCCCAAAACATTGTGAAACGGCCTTCATCCAGTGCAACCTAAGAAAAATAGCACTTTTTCTGCCAGTCCTATCTGCAGGCACTTAGGAAAGTTTACATATAGATTGGGTATTTATCTTTTTTCCTTATGACTTGCCTTTACATAGACTGGCAATCATATTTCCAGTAATCATCTTATACTCTTAACAGTGCTTTTATTAGACCAGCTGATGTATTTGAAAACAAAAAAGAAGAGACACTTTTTGGCAAACACTTCTTAGAAGCCTCAATTTAGAACTTCTATAGACTGAAGATTGCAGTTTCTTATTTGTATCTTAATATGCAGTTTATTCACTTATTTTTCTGTCTCCTTTTTTAATCTCTAATTTTTTTCCTGAATGCATAGGTGCCTGGAACCTATGGCATCAGAAGAAGAAAACATGGAATATACAAAGCAGCTAATCCTCAGCTGCCTGCTAAGCATCTGTCAGAAATTGTCCTCAGATGGCAGCAAGATCCCAGCAGGTAAAAACTGCCAGACTCATATCTTGGTACTTCTCTTACCAGTACGTCATTAAAACAATGGCCTCAAACTTTTTCTTCCCTCAGTCTACACTGTATTGCTGAGGAGAGATGGATTCTTTTATGGAGTATATAAATTTGCCTTCTTAATCATTTTTTGTAAATCCCTTGGGTATGGTTTGCAAATTGAAACCAGTGATTGAATGTACTGTTTATTCCTACATGGACAACCATTAAAATGTTAATCAGTTAATATTTTTTTACTTACAGATATCCTTGACAAAGAAAAATTCAATGTGGAAGTGATAGTTCAGTGCATCAGGATTTCTAAAATGCCCCAGACACACCACCATGCACTGCTTCTCCTTGGTGCTGTTGCTGGCATGTTTCCCGTAAGTAGTACCTGAAATTTATGCGTCGGCTCTTCTCTTCAGGTTCCAAATATTGGGAAGAGTGAAGAACGTATAGAGGTCTTCTATGGGGAGAAACTTTCTGAAAGGAGCAAGAGGCAAAATTTACAACTTCTCTGCTATTTTAGGACTTTATATTTCATTTTACTTGAAAACAAACTTTTGTCTTGACGCTTTGGTCACTATTCATTTATGACTATGCGTTTCATTGCATTAGAAACGGAAGCAGTTTTTTGACAACAGCCCGGCCTCCCCTTCCCGCTGGGGTCGAAGTTGTGGTGCGTTGTTTCTTCTTTCCTTTGCTTTTTTAGATACAAGGGAGAAAACATCTAGCCTGATAGCTGGTATTCTTACGAGTTCCTGTCTTGTACAACACTGAGAAATGTGGTTGTAGTTGATGATAAAACCAGATTGGTCTGATTTTAATCAAACAAGAAACAGGCCTTTTCTTCTGTGGATGGAAATTAGACTGTGTACTCACTCTTCTAAGTAAGGTTCTTTTGCTTTGAAACTGTAAAAGCAGCAAAGTGTATCCTGACGTATCAAACTCAGTTTGCGTCTTTATCTTACCTCAGTACTTTCTCCACACATTTGGAAAGAGAGTGGTGTTTTCCCCAAAGAAAAAACTGGACTGTTTTTGACAAACTTTTGAAGGATTTGGCTTTTTTGTTGTTGGAGTTGTTTTTCTTTGTCGCCATCTTACTGCCATGACCTGCTATAGAACCAAGCTTTTATTCTACATTAATGTTGGTTCTTACAAGATTTTCAAGGTCAGACTACAAGGAAATGTTTTGTATGAGTCTCATCTCTCTTTTTAATAAAATCTAAAACACTGCTTCAGTTTACAAAACGGAATGAAAAATGTGCCTATAACTTCTTGCTCTTAAGTTCTGGCAAAATCAAGGAAACTAACTCTTGAGCCAAGTGACACTTCTAATCCAGCCTTCCTAAAATTAAAATGAGCATGGTTGGTTTCCATTGTAGGATTGTAGATACTGCAGATGTTCTACAGATGTAAAAAGAGTGGGTGAGAAAAGGGTATGAAAATCACAGGAATTTGTGCCACACTTACATTTGTGCTTCTGCAAATCTCTGCATAGCTGACTTTGCTTGTCATACTACCATGGCACTTAGTTGAAGAATGCAAGGTATTTCATCAAATTAAACTCTCAATTTCCACGCTTTAATTACTTGCTTAGAAATGTATCTTGGTTTCTAAATAATGTTGCAATTCTAACAATCACATAGTAAGTAGCTTTAAGGGACACTATACATTTAAAATTAGTTTAGTGGAGATTTTGGAAGATACTAATGATTCTCATTTTCTTTTATAGGAATCTAGTGGCATTTGTGGGAAGGAGAAATGCCTTGAGGTATAATATGCCGAGCAGCACAGTTCCAAAAATAAACTAATCTCATCTATCTTCTTTTCCAGGATAAAGTTCTCCATAACATTATGCCTATTTTTACATTCATGGGAGCAAATGTTCTGCGTCTGGATGATACTTACACATTCCAAGTCATTAATAAGACAGTGCAAATGGTTATTCCTGCTCTTATACAGGTAAATTTGTCTACATAATGGAAAGCAGTAGAAAAATGTCTCTTTCTGTTAGAGAAATCAAATTGCTGTCTCTCTTCTATATTTTTTTTGATTTATTTTTTTATTTAAAACCTTTCATAACAGCCATCACAAGTTTCTGTGACAAATTATTTATGGCACACACAATTCTTACATGTGGGGAGAACCTAATGTTTCTTACCTGAGATCATGCAGCCTACTTGTATTATTTTTGAATCCAAGACCCTAACTATCAGGCTTACAGGCAAAGTTTTCAGAAGGATGGGACATTGCTTTCCCTTGAAAACGTCCTGCTTGTTTCAGCTGATGCCAAGTAATGTTTGTTTGGGTTTTTTTTCTTTTTTCTCTCATCTTTTTTTTCCTTTTTATTCTTTTTTTCCCCCTTTTTTTAAAAATTTTATTTATTTCTATATATTTAAATTGTATTATCTTCCTTAAACACTGAAAAGGAACTGTGGGATTTAAAACTTTTTATTCTGGAGCACTTATATTTTCCTTGAGATTATGTTTGTCCTAATGCCATTATCAGACACAAAGTGCTTTGTCTCATTTTCTGAATTTACAAGAAAGAACTTGTACCTGCCTGCGATAATCCGTTTGAATTGCCGTACCTGTTTGTTCACAGGCTGAAGACAGTGATTTGTCAGAGTCCTCGGGAAGCGTGGAAGAGGTGGTGATAAAGATCATTCGTGTGTTCGTGGATGCCTTGCCCCATGTGCCGGAGCACCGGCGCCTGCCAATCCTGGCCCAGCTGATCACTACGGTGGGAGGAGACAAGTTCCTCTGGGTTCTCCTGGTGCTGCTGTTTGAGCAGTATGTGACCAAAACTGTGACTGCAACGTCAAGCGCAGACAAGGTTAGAAGACTAGTGGGGTCAACTTTTTCCTGGAGAGACTGATCTTCTCCTTTCTGTTCATGGCTTTGCCTTTAAGAAGGTGCAAGATAAGCCCCTAGGTTATGCTACAATAAGTGGTGAGCTCTGAGCTTGTGCTGTAGCAGAACCTGATGGTGATGTTGGCTACGATTTGTATTGCAGATACACTATTGTTTTCTCCTGGAGCCTGAACAATAAATCAGATCGCATTATACAGCAGACCATGACCTGAAGAGCTGATAATATAATTATGAAGTGCTTCAGTATTTTTAAAGTTGTTTTTTTTTTCTTTAATTGTGTTTATGAAACATGATACTGGTCTTCCTGTACAGACCAAGATAAACCCTGTCATGTTTTTTGTGTAGGCAAGCCCTCAGATTAGGTGAAAGCGTAGTTTATGGGGAAAACTAAAAGAACATTGGTGAGAAGATACAGTCTTCACTGTAGCAATTTAATCTTTTTCCATGCCCTCTGGAATTACATTCTCTCCAAGAGCTTGCAGCTATTACCTGTGGTGTTAATCCTGGCAGTATCCAGCTCACCATGGCATTTTCACAAACTCACTGAGGAGTTTTTGAGTCTTTTCATCATTATTAATACTTTTGGTTTTTTAAATCTTGAAATATTTTTTTTTCTTTCTAAACCATAAACAGGATGCTGTTCTGGAAGCAGACACTGAATTTTGGATTTCCATCTGTTCCGAATTTAATGTACGTTCTCAGTTCCAGAGCATGATGAAAATAATCCAGTACTTGACAGAGCTGCCAGAGAACAAAGAAGGTAATCACAAAACAGAGCCAGCAAATGCGTGCAAACCTTCCTATTACTCCTCTAGACAGAAGACTAAAAGATACAGAATTGCTCTAATGATGACTTTTTTTTTAAATAAAATGGCTGAGATACGTGATTACTTTTTTTTTTTCCTTCTTTTAATCCTAGAGTAATATGAGCACTTAGAATCAAACAGTACTCCTCATTTAGAAGGTACAGAAATCATTTAGTTAAAATAAAAAAGCTATTATTCATAGCAAACAGGATCACAGGGACCACCAGTCATTTCTGGAGTTTTTTTAAGGTTTCATTTTTTTCTACTACACTATAGTCAAGGAGTAATTAAGCAATATGTTTTAGTACTTTTCCAGTCTGTTATTTCAAAGAGCATTGGGGAAGGTGGGAGAGGGTCCTTTGCTTCTTTGTAAGGAAGGACTTGCCGTATTTGTTGTTTGAACACGTTTTCTCAGCCAGGAAGGACCAGGTAATGACACTGAAAGCAGTTTTCCCAAGTATGTGACACACAGTGTATGTGGTCCTGCCTCAGATGTCTCCCATGCTTGTAGCCATGTGCACTGTAGGTTTAGCACCAAGAAAAAACAAGGTTCTTCACGTAAAAATAATCAGATGAAGTGGTGGTGAAATGGCACTACTACTTTTAAGGCTGTTGAAATGAAAAATTTCTCTCCTGTGGTATTTCAAAGCATCTTTTTTTGAACTTTGACATGATTTTGGATGCACAGAATGACTCCTTGATAGGCGTCTGGCTTTAATTTTACTTTGTTTCTGTAATCGGAAATCAAATGTCTTTTTCTCTTGGCTGAAAATTTGTTTTGCAAATGTTTTCAACAGATGATCCTGGGCCAAAAAAGTCAAGAACATGCAAGACAAAACTAAAAAATCAGGATGGGCAGCTCTTTAATGTGGAGTCTCACTCGGACAAACAACTACGGCATTTCAAATTCTTGTCAGTCTCCTTCATGTCACAACTTCTATCCTCTCAGAGTTTTGTGAAAAAGGTAATAATGGCAGATCACTTTAAACTGATCACTTTAAGTAATTGTGCCATACTGTAACAGATGAGGTTTAATTTGCTTTTTAGTATGGCTTTATATTCAAAGGGGATGAAAGAGTACGCTGTCCAGTGTATCTTGCTGACACCTTTATTGACACAGTTTTGAAACCTCTCAGTAATGTCAATTATTTTTTAGTAAGGCTTTTCCAGATAGACTCAGTTTGTGTGACTGATGAATAGGTAACAAAGTGAAATTCTGGTCCCAGTGGATTCCCACGGGCTTTATGGAGTCTGGAATTTCACTCACATTCTGTCTAAGTCCAAGTTTGGTGTGGGATTCATACTATTAACTCTGAAAAGACAAAATAAATGTCACAAACTTTAAGCTGTGGCTCTAGCTGGAAGTAGTGCCCAATGTTTCAACTGAAAATCATCCACCAGGATGAAATGTATTTGCTACTGTGACTGTATTGCCTTAGATTCTCTTATTTTCTTTAAGAATGATGGCTTAAGTGCAAATGTGGGGAACTCGCAATTACCATGTTAGTGGACATTTCATTCAGAAAAAAAAAAGAGTTTGCATATACTGGGATATTAACTTTATGAGGGGGTATAAGTTTCATACTTAAGAGTTTTCATTCTTTTAAACCAGATAGTTGACTGTGCAGAAACAGAAGAGCTGCAGACGTTGGAACAGAGGTATGCTTTAAACTGCTTCACTCCTCCTATTTGTAGCTTTTACTGCAACCTGGGAATATTTTTTAAACTTAATCCCATTAGAGTGTGTTTCTCCCCAAGGATACTTGTACTGTTGTCCTCAGCAAAGAGCAGTATTTATTACATGCAAGTTATTTGGGTTTTGGTTTGCTTTTTTTTTTAATATGATGTGGAGGTTTTTATTTCTGAAAGATTGCTGTATTCAATATCCACTCTTTCTCTGTTTCTGATAGTGCTTATTTACCTACTTGGCCATAACTATTATGCTATTGATGATAGAATCTTTAAAAGAATTCCAGATTTTTAGCAAAACATACTACTTCATTTGTAGGGGAAAAAAAAAAAATCATTATGCACAAGTGCCCCTAAATTGGGGTAAGAAAATTACCAATAATCACAGATTACAGTTGTAGTTATGGGACTATAAAAGCCAGTGATGCAAAATTGAGAGTTTCTTTTGTGGAAGCATAACTTTTATGTTTGTTCTAAGTGAATAAGGGTGTAGGATTTATTTTAAATTCTGTGTTCCTTAGATGCTCATTTTTAAACATCTTTATCTTCCCAGATTGTTTTTGTGTTAGAGTTGTTAAGTAGAACTGCCGTTGTATGTAGATGCTAATTTGGGGGTACCAGGTAGACATCTTTAATGTGCACATGATTTTCCTTATTGCCATAGCTTTTTGTTAATATGTAGATGAGCTATACTAGCCTTTCCATTATGTGTTTAATTTTCCTTTATTGTTGCTGTTTCATGAAATTTTACCCTTTGCAGTAATAAAGTCGACTTCCTTAGTGTCCGTGTGACTTAATAAAAGATGCTTCCTTTCCATCTAGGCTATTAGAAGAAGTTCTTCACTATATAAACACTGTGGCATCTTCAGTGGAAGGAAACATGGACAAGCCAACAGCCAAATTTTGGAGGGTTCTGCTTAACAAGTCCTATGATATGCTGGATAAAGTATGTCTCATTAGCCCTCACGTTAGCAATGAGACATTTCTGCTTTTGCTTATTACTACCATTGTAACCTTTGTAGGGATTCTCCTTGGATTAGTACTAATCGTTATTGGTTGGTTTGCAACCTGGTGCATCATTGTTTAAATTTGTCTAACAACTTTAATAACTACAGCTACCAGCTTAGACAGAACAACCAGAAGACAAATCAGGAATGCTTATTTCCTCTAGTATTTTGCTGGCTGGAAGCGGTCATTTCACTGTCTCTCTGGTGGAGAAGAATGGCTTTTGGCAGCATTTCTCACTGTTAACTCATAAAATGATTTAACTAATGCTAATGGAACTGCTGTATATTTCTACATGGAATTTAAATGGAGGAAAAAATCCTTATGCTTTTCTTCCTAATCTTTTTCTAATCAGAAGTGTATTTGTAGAATTGGACTGGCTATCTCGTTGCATGCTGGGGAGCATACATCTTTTCACAGCTTGGATTTTTTTTTTTTTTTGCCTGTGAAGCATATTCCAGTTTCATAATGTACATGCACAGGGCACTACCACAAGTATTTTAGAGTAAGGAGAGACACCTCACCAGTGTAGACAAAAGGAATTGCTGAGAACCTGCTTTGTTCATTTGCTTGCCTCAGATACAGCATTGCTAGCCCATCCTCTCTTCCTTGATCCTGAAACCCATGTGGAAAGTTAAAGAGAGTTTTCTTGTCTGTTTTGGAGGCTCCTATGTCACAGGGCATGGAAGAACATTTATGGTATTGTTTTGTTTGTGTTTTCTTATAGGTCAATGCCTTATTGCCAACAGAAACCTTCATCCCTGTAATTAGGGGACTATTGACGAATCAGCTCCCATCTGTGAGACGTAAGGCAATGGAACTTTTGAACAATAAGGTGCAGCAGCGCACAAGGTGGCAGAAGAGCCAGGTGAGGTGAAGTGGTGGTTAAACTCAGTTCTTTTAGCAGAAGTACACGGAGAGAGATTGATGTAGAAGTGGTTTGCTCTAGGTAAAGACGTCACGTACCAGTGCCGAGTCTGGCACACAACTCTTGAGTAGTGAGATGTAGGCTACCTGCCCGTAGTTACTTTCCAAGTTCTGAGTTTCTAATTGTTTGTCTAATGTGTGTGTTCTCTTGTCCTCTTAGATCCTGCAGCTCTTGGAGCTGGTTCCTGAGCTCATTGCTATTGTGCAGTGTAAAAGAAAGGAGGAAGAGGAGGAGCAAGCCATCAACAGGCAGACTGCTTTGTTCAGCCTCAAGCTACTTTGCAGAGGTTTTGGCACAGAAAATCCAGTGCCATTTGTACCTGTTCTGAAAACTGCCATTGATCTAATTTCTTCAGAGAAGGAGGAGAAGAATGTGATGGGAAGTGCTTTGCTTTGTATAGCTGAGGTCACCTGTACACTGAAAGCCCAGGCAATACCTCAACTTCCAAGGTACTGTTGGATTCTTTTTAACAGAACCAACTGCAGAGATGTGCCCAAAAGTATGTTGTCGTGGTTTTAGGCTGATCCAGCAACTAAAACTCATGCAGTCTCTCCTTCTCCAGTAAAGTAGAGAGGAGAGGGGAAAAAAAAAAAACCAAACCAAAGGGACTGAGGGTTGAGACAAGAACAGAGGGAGCACCCACCAACCATGGTCCTGGCAAAACAGACATGGCTTTCTCAAAGCAAAACAGTTTATTAATGATTACTTAGAAGGACAAAGGGAAACAAAACCGATTACTCGAGAGGACAGAAAGAAACAAAACCAGATCTTAAAACTGACACCTTCCCCCCACTTTCCTCTTCCTCCCAGCTCTACCTCCTCCCCCCAGCAGCACAGGGGGCAGGGACTGGGGGAGTGCAGGTCAGTTCATTCCGTGCTGTTACTGCTGCTTCTTTCTTAAAGGAGGAGGAGTCCTTACACCCTTTTCCCCTGCTCCAATGGATCCCCTACCCACGAGGAAAAATCCACAAACTTCTCCACTGTGAGTCCAGCCCAC